TGGAGCCTGAAGTTTGCATCTATGAGGAGGGATAGCATTTACAGGCTCGGCTGAGGCTGGACCACGACCAGGTGCGAAAGTACCAGTTGCGTATCCTTGAATAGCAAAGGATGACGGTTCATTCAAAGTGATCCAATACTTCACCCGATCACCAAATTCCCAAAAGCAAAGCTCCGCAAACTCACAGTAGTCCTTCCTATTAAATATTCAGAAAAGATTATAAATTTATACATATATGGTTCTTGGTGTTATTCTGGGAAAAAAATATTTTGGGATCACATTGAATTTGGGTACAAGAGCTTGACTTGATAATACAAATTTCTAAAGGGCTTCTTGTTTCCAGAGGAATTAGATATCTTAATTTTCTTTGAATTTTATTGTTTTCCTATAAACACACTATTCAAATATCAAAAGAAAAGGTTCGTTGTTAGCAAGATTCAGTTACTTACACAATTTGAGGACTCAAGAAGCCACCGTACTCTTCTTCCAAATATTGGGGAACATCCCAGTGGAATATAGTTGCACACGGTTCAATGCCTATACCATAGTAAATTTAAGAATCATATTTTAAATAGAAACAAACAACATTGTTCAAAGAAAAAATTGTATTGGAGTCTAATTAACCTTCGGCCAAGAGCAAGTCTATAAGATCATTATAGTACTTGATTCCTTCTTTGCTTATTCCAGCAGATAATTTCCCCCCTAAAATACCAATAAAGAAAAAATGATATTAAATAAAACTTCAACCATTTTTTTTGTTTTTGACTAATGATGCACAAACTGATTATATACATATATACGTCTACCTGGCAATACTCTGGTCCATGCAATTGAAAATCTGTAAGAGTCTAAACCCACTTTCTTTAACAAAGCCACGTCTTCCTATAATATTACGGAAAATAAATAAATATTGTTCCACTACCAAGAAAAAAAAATTCTGAGTTATCTTTAAAACTGTGCTATAACAATGAAATTGGTGAATTACCTTCCACAAATTATATTGATCAATTGCAACACACCCATTAGCTCCACCCTCAATTTTACCTGCCACTCCAATAAACTTGCTCAGGAATTGACACGTAACTCACATATAAAGATATGTAATGTATTTATAAAGATATATGTTTGTATGTACGAAGATGGGGAGAGAGAGGAGACCAGGTGTTCTCATTGTGAAGACATCCCAGATGCTTTGACTTTTACCTCCTGTTGCCCAAGCACCTTCGACCTGAATTTACATTGCAAATAAAAAATCAATAAAAATACAACAAAATTGCATGTTTTTTCGCCTTTCTTGAGTAAATATTTGAATGAGTACACTTATGTGCATGGGCAGGATGATTCTTTTCTTTGATTTGATTTGCACTGCAAAAATTACACATATGCACGCACCTGATAAGCAGATGTTGCCGAACCGAAGATAAAATCTGAGGGAAAATCAGAGCGCTTTATCATGTTTCTGCCCGGTAGACTGCCGCTGGAAAAATCCAAAAGTGCAGCTGCATCGGCGCCACCGTTCATGTTGAGGCTGTTTTGTTCTTTAATTTTTAGAAAAGGGCACTTAATTTGATGTAGTGTAAATTTAAACTTGAGTTATTTGAGAGCGGTATATGCAATAGCCAACCAACTGAATCAGGTATTTATAGGGAACTCAATTTGACTTTGTAAAAGAAGGCATGCGTGCATGAATTATCTAAAATCAACACGAATTTAGAAAATTCAAACTTCAGTTCTAATTTCTATTCTTCGGCAGCCACCAATCGCCAAATTTTGTTGTCTTCCTTTTCCTTCTGTAGACTAGACTTTTAAATTTTAGTTTTCAGTTTTAATTATTTCCATTTTATTTATTCGTCAGATTATTTTCATACTTTTTCTTCTAAAAAACTATGCGTAACAAAACGAGAAGAAATTCTATTTAAATGTTTAAAATCTGTGTAGATGACCAAATCAGCCTCCTAATACCACAAAGTACGAGAAAAGACGTACCAAATATGGAATAAATATAAAAGAAAGATGCATTCATGAGGGAAAACGGTTTGACGACAAAACATTTATACTAAGAAATTCCGTAAAATCAAGCAAGTATAATGTATTGTGGACAAGTAACTAAGTGATTAGTCCATTAGCGTCCTATGATGATTATGTAATTAGATTTAAAATTAACTAAGCCTAACTTTAACCAAACAAACATAAATTTTATTTTTTAGGGTCTTTTATTAAATTATACTAAAAAGACTAAAAAAAAAAACCTATTAACAGGTTTAGAGAAAATTCAAATAGAATGACAAAAACATGGATAATTATGCAATCGTATTCCACTTTGTTTCTCCAATCCTAAAGATTGACCAAAACATGGTCAATTATGCTAAATTAACATTTGACCTCTCAAAAATAACGCAAGCCACAAAATCGTGCAAATTGTGAACAGTTATTCTTTTGCAGCCTCCAATCACCCAATGCTTTGACATTTCCTTGGTTGCAGTCCAACTTTAGGAAGACGACATGAAGATATTTCATAGTCAACTCTTGAAATTCCTCACGTATTAATCATTGGCTTGTTATCTTGTACACATCATCAATGCTGGTTTTAACAATGAGCCAAAAGGTGTCCTTATTAACCTTCGTCACCACAACATCCTCGTACGCCGATGCATTTTTCAAACCACCTGAAACTTTCAATCGTATTCTATTGAATTTTTTAATTCTGTGTACGATTGAGATCATCAAATTTTCAATCTTATGCTCATAAAAATTGGCAAGGTCATATTTTTGACCGACTTTGTTGTCTTAAACATAAAAGAATACCAGGGTGTACCACTAATTTTGGGCAATCATTCATATCAATGAGTCAGGCTGTGATGGGCCTTATACAGGTGGGTTGATCTTGAGGGTGGATGATGGGTCAGAGAAATTCTATGTGTATGCCAAGGTAGAGAAATCATCTCATGTTGAAGAAAGCTGGGAAGTTGAAAATAAGATGTGAAGGATCATAAAAAGTGAACACACAAGACAGGAATTGGTAGAATTATTGAAAATCTTAAACATGAAAAAGGTTTTTTGCAAATTTTAAGAATCAAGAAGGGGGTTAGCAATGTCGAACATTGTGTTCAATGTAATGCCGTTGAAGTCCGTTACGAACCACCATGATTGGTCCGTTCGCAAACTCCAGCTAAAAACTTTAAATTAATTGCTTTTAGGATGCAATCCAAGTTCGTACCATTTTATTTATTCTACTCTAAGTATTTGCATTGCATGTGGTTAGTTAGGTTTGCATTTAGGTTTATGGACATTTTGTTTAAGGTTAGTGTTCATGGAAATATATTTCGAATTAAAATCACTGCAAATGTACGGTTCGTTAATAAGTAATAAAGTGGATCTTGAATCCGAATATCGTTCTACAGAGATTGATTTAGTTCAATTTTAGTTATCGCGCCCTTCACCGAAACAAAGATAATATGATGTGCTTATAACTGAATTATATCGAACTTAACCTACTTATACAATTATGAATGAATTAACTAAATTAAATACAAATNCAAATTAGCCTCCCGATACCACTTATATCTACCAATTACAAGAGCAAAAGGTTTGATGAAAATCGATCTTTATTTAAATTTAAGGGGAAAATGTGAGCATTTGCATTAAAATGAAATCTTTTTCAAAATTTAGCGCTTGAAATTGTCTTCCTACTTAAAAAAAAAAAAAGAATTGAATTGAATTTTATTAACACGGTTAATTAATTTTTATTTTTAAATTGTGTTCTTGTCCAAACTATATATTATTTTAAAAAGGTAGATTGAATAAAATAAATAAATAAATATTTTTAAAGTCTCTGAATGCAACTAAGTATTGGTATTCATCACATTAACCAAAAACCAGCAATAGGTAGAATATCATTATGAGCCATGTTTACGGAATAAAAAAGAAGTTAATCCTCATTTTTTTTATTACACTCGCTCTACGTAATTATTCTAATTACATTCCCTAGTTAAATTTCTTTTTAATCCCATCAGTAACTATTTTATTAATTCAAATCGTCAAAAAAAAAACGTGACAAAATAAAAGCAAGAACACCACCAATCTAGTGAACCCTTAACAGAGAAAAAACAATATGTTTTATTACGTTTGCAAGAACTAAAAGACATAGCAATCTCTCTTGAATAGTTGGACCGATTATATCCTCGAGGCCTGGTTGAGAACGCGCTCATAAAAATGGGCAAGTTTATATTTTCGATGGAATTTGATGTCTTTAATATAGAAGAATACCAGGGTGTACCACTAATTTTGGGCAACAATTCATATCAATGAGCCCGGCTGTGAGTCTCGATGCGGGTGGGCTGATCTTCAGGGTGGATGATGAGTAAGAGAAATTCTATGTGTATGCCAAGGTAGATTGACGCATAACGGAAGTAAAAGATTTACTTGCGTAAATCTTGAAAATCAGAAAACTGAAATTCTTCAAGAAAGAAACTTGTATGCCATTAATAATTATGCTGGAAACGCTCAAAAGCCTTTAAATAGGCATTACAAGAAACCCTAAAAATATAGATTATTAAAACATTCCAAAAATAACGAAAATCTAAAACTGGAAATATGGAAATTAATTATTTGAAAACCTAAACGAAGGAATTTGGCTAAAATCATAAGATC